TATTTTAAAATCAAATTAAAAAAAATATTAATAAAACTTCATTTAAAACATCACGGTTCCTTGCTAACAATAATAAAATCACCATAAGCTTAATGAGAAACTCTCTTCTCTTCCATTAAATAGTTATAACTTTTAGCTGGAAACAACTTTTTGCTGTCATTCCATAGACTCCAAACTACAAAAGCTTTAACAATTGATTGAACATGCTATTTTTCTTTCCAACAGAATGGTAAAATAGAATGATCCGTAATTTTGGAATTTCCATAGCAATAAAGCTATTTGTTTAATCTGTTTGGAACAAGATTATTTTGAAATCACATTTCAAAGTGTTTTGCCAAGACTGAGAACTGAGACAACCCACAACCCATTCCCTATCAAAGCTAGGAAGGCAATTAATTAGTCTTATAGAAACCCCCAGGGTTAGGCCTAAACTTTGCATGAGCTTGAGAGAGACAAGGGTAAGTCCTGACTGACCATTTTCAGCATCAGTGTCCTTTGCCAGCTGGCCAAAGAGAACAGAGATGCAAGGAACGCAAGTTGTCTTCCCACTGGCAACAAGAAATGCTGAGACATGCCTAACAAGAGAACATGTGCATGTGTGGTGGGGGGGTATGTGCATGTATATGCTATGTGCTGGGGGAGAAGGAATAATATACGCAGGAAATAGCACCTGTTATCATTTCCGTTGTGTCTATTTCTATAATGATATTGTGGTGGGCAAAACCAGGTGCTGCTTTCTATGAAATCCTATCATACTTAGTTTCAGAAGATTAAATACAGAAGAAGGGAAGTAGAACAAAAAACAATATTCAACCAAAGACACATGTGCTACACTCAAGAAAGTACCAAACAAATAGTTAAATGGATCCTAGCAAATTAGATAATTAGGTAATTATACTCTTCTTCTTCTCTCTTTGGTTTGTTAAAGAATGAATGTCTGTGGTAAAGATACTACACATCATCATTTGTTAAAATATAAAGAGAGACTCCTGGGTTTGAAAGATATAAGAAAAATGACTTAGAAAAATTAATGGGACAGGAATTTACAGCTGATAGGTTAGGTTGAGTTAGGAGAGGGAGTTGGTGGATTAATTCGATTCTGTAATCAAAGTCCTTTTCTCTCTGACACATCCCAACACCACCATTACATGATCAACAGATTTTTATAAAAACCTAAAGCGTTCCCTAGAAAAATTCCATGGGGAATTACAGAAAGGTTGGGCTTGCTTCGCTAAACGTTTCTTGCAAACCGTACATAATCCAAGAGCACATTTGTTGGCTGTAAAGGTGTACAACAGCAATTTTTGCAATGACAGTGCAGAGAGGGAATATGAGATCTGTGTGCTAATGAGCTGACACTGCAGAGGCTAGAGCAATGTAGTATAGTGCACTACAAGTGCAGAGCAGAAAGACACAGGCAGGTTATTTCTAGGGAATATGATCTACGGAACCTGAAGCATAATTCAATAGTAACACTAACATACTCTATTACAAGTTAGCATATGAACCTGCAACATGCTTCAGTGATGAAGTTATACATTTGAGCTGTTTCATGCAAATTATTTTGATAAAGACAGCTCACTCTGTCTTGAAGAAATGATGTAACATCTGTGTTTTACCTGCTTTTATTTAGATTCAGCTCAATATAGCTTCTTCAATTTTCGTTTTCTCTGCAGATGGGTGAGCGTGTGTGTGTTAAAATATGTAATCACTCCACAAAAACCCACCCATAAACTTTAACTCACTTTTCTTCTGAAAAAAAAAAAATTACATTCTCAGTGGAGTATTTGCACTCCCTCTCTATCTATGGAGATCATACATCTGAATAAAAATCAGTGGATGGATAGATTCTGTAGACATATCTGTCCTAATACTTAAGCAGGGTATTCAGAGAGTAGACAGGGAAATCTGATTACGCAGTGTTTTAGCTGAGAAGGGAGGGGATTAGGACAGAGGCTTGCTTGCCTGTGAAGGAATGTGCTCCCTATTTGAGGTTTGGCCAAACTGACCCCCTCAGAGGTGGCACTTCAGAAGAACAAGTTTTGGGTTTTTTTAATCTGCAGGGGCTGCCTGTGGAATGCACCTCAAAAGGGGTATCTTTTTCCACTGCAGGATACCTGCCTGTTCAAGGCATGCATGCACACACCCTATACCTGCAGTCAAGTACTCCAAAACAGTGGAGCAATTGAATGCAATGGTTCATGGATGCTAACACATACGCTTGAGCAACACACAGGTCTTGTCACTCACTGCCCCCTCAATTTCTTGCCAGCGCACCCTCCCAAAGTTAGGCACACCGACTCTCACGGACATGGCAGCCTGTGGAATCGCTGCAGGTTTCCTTCCTATGGATCACTGCCAATTGTAAGTTATCGATCACAAGCCTGGGTGACAGCACTTGAGACAATTGATTCTTATTTTCAAGAGGACTCAAAATGTTGTCAGAAGAGAGTTCTCTCGGTTATATGCCAGCACCCTGAAATTATCTACTACTCCATTAAGAAGTGATGATCTGATTGGGAATACTCAGGCCAGACAGCTTTATATGTTAGCCATGTAGCGTGATCAGCCATTAGGTTATCCCAGTGGATTGGTATGTATGAGCATTCTGACTTTCAAAGATAATTGCCTGCAGATCTGAAAAGAATGACAGCCCTTCTAGTTATTTATCTGTAGCTGTAAAGACCCAAGTGTTCAGTGGGATGGATTGTAAGGAGTATTTTTTTTATTTATAGTATATTAAACTGTTGGCATAGCTACCGACAAGGTCACCTTTTCATTTCCTTTCATCTATTTATTTACCCATGCTTACATATTGTTTAATATCGCCTTGCAGATGGATATCCCCTGTACTAAGGGGTCTCCAGGGATTTAACTTTTTCCAAATTTCACTGCACTAATATCTTCACTAGAATATGCAGCACCATGCTCAGATCAGTATGGAAAACCAACTTGCACGTTGCTAAATTGCCATCACTTTTGACTAGACAATGTCAAAAATCATTTCCTGTTGGAAGATTAGGAATACACTAAATAATACATTGGCTGTTTTTGAATAGGAGTATGGTTCACTTATCTTAGAGGGATCTGTAAAGAAGTACTGATAGAAGTTAAAAAAAAACAATTAATAGTTAATAACCCTACCAGATTAATGTATTTAGTTTAAATCCATATAATTGATATTTAGGAAACTATGTTTGAGATACAGCCTCTTGAAAGGATTACACTGATTAAGGATTAATAGTCAGATGTTTGTCGTAAAAGCTGTTGAGGAAGGATAGGATTAGTACAATAAGATGTAAAATACAGACATAAGATTTGGTACCTTTTAACACTTTGCCAAATATCATAATTGGGTATTATATAATATTTTTTTAAAAACTTGTAAAAGTCCTAATCCAAAACCCTTCAAAAGGCTAGGGCTACACTAACAGAAAGGAGTCACATGGGGCATGCATTAGAAGGGCAACCCATGTATTTTGCAAAGATTTCCTTACAATATACTTTTAAATTATTCTGTTTCCCACAAAATATTTTGTATGTGAAGGAGGATAAATTATATGGTTGTCTGGCCTTTCTAACAAAAAAATAATGTGTTTAAGTCATAAGGAGAGAGGCTGCATACAATCTATTGTGCCATAAACGAGGTAAAGTTAAGGGTTTGCTCCTACGAAATTAAAAAAGTCGAGAACTGGCACTGTCCTAAACTTTCAAATTCTCAGTTGACAAAATATTACATAATAACACTGTGCTTTTTTCCAGAAAAGTTTTACTGTACCAACTAGGCTTCTTATTTATTGTACGAAGTTCTCTGAGATTTTAAAACAGCAGTTGGTACATTGTATTCATAAATTCTAGGTCATACAGACTAATCTCTGTACAAACTGCATAGTATATCAACGCATCTACAAGCAGAGCAGGGCAGGGTGGTACCTTAGAGACTTAAGTTGTGTAGAAATTCATAAGCTTTCGAAGGCGCCAGCTTCCTTTGTCAGATGCTGTAAGTCTGATAGAGCATCTGATGAAATAGGCTGTCACCTATGAAAGCTCATGAATTTCTGAGCAAATTAGCCTGTAAGGTGCCATTCTGCCCTGCTTTCTGCTTGACTCCAGACTAATACAGCTAATACCTCTGTCTACTCATTGAATTCATACATAGTTACCTAATGGTAACTATCCTTCCATTTGTGAACGTGCTGTGATTATGTTTAAAGCCATATACAAACTTCATTCAGATATAAAAATCACAAAATAAATGTTTAAGAACTTCTATAGATAATGTAATGCTTTTTAAATTGCAGAACCCATGCCAGCCTTCCAGAAAGGGGGCTTATTTTTCAATTCATACAAATACCCCTCAAAGCCATATTTTGAATTGATTACTATTAAAAAAACCCCAGTGAAATGCAAGCACTGCTTATACTGAGCAATGTTTCATAATGCTAAGATCCCTTGCTTTAATAGTATTCATCAGTTTGTGGTCTCATTGGTTTTTATCAAGATTTTCAGAGTAGGAAAGAAAGCTATTTTAGGACAGAAGGAGGTCAGTAAGCCCATCCAGTTCTGTTTCTTCAAGGTCACTTGCAAACCGCCTTTTCCATGTTTTATTTCTTACACTGTAGTACTTGTCAAATTCTGCTTTTTCCTACAGCTAGGCTGTAGCCTTAACAAGAAAGTGGTATGTATCATCAGCACAGCTCTACCAACCCAAGACCACACATCATGCTTTTATAAATAATCTATTTCATCTCTACAAAGGAAACAAAAAACCCCCTAAACATTGACATTTTTAAGGGAAGAAATATGGTGAAAAACTTTCCCTGCAATATTATCTAACCATACAATGCTCTAAATCCATTTAAACCTGTTGTCATATGCACATTTGTTGCATTGCAATCTATGAAGTATTCATCTGAACTCCAATATGTCAGGGAGCAGTTCAAAAAAATTCAACCAGGAACCCCAGTGCGCTAAATTAGGAGAAACATATATTTACTTACAAGCATTAGTCACTGAAAAACTGTTGGAGGAGTCCAGGTGGTCTACATGATAGTTCAAATGGAAGGGCTTTTCTGTGATATTTTGGTTTGTGTTGTATAACTGCACAGCAAATCGAAAAGCACTGTGCTCCTGAACAGTATTTCTCATGAAAAGTCCACCTACAGGGAAAAAAATACAAGGAAAAAAAGATATCTGAAAATGATTTGTTAGCAATATTGCGTAGAATAAGATACATGTACATAAGGGCCACATTCAGCAACAGTGAAGAGAACAAGCTACAACAGGCATCCACATGTAAAATCTGCACACAGTATATGTATTAAACATATACTCCAAGATTTTCAAGCCTGAGTCCTTAAAGTCAAAGCAAGCTGTAGGCACCTAAAAAAAAATTTTAAAAGTGTCCTGATATTCATGTATGGTAAAGAACACCCCCAAAATTACACTGAAGGCAATGATAGCTGTTGGGTCTTTCAAAGCGACACCTCTAAAAATCAGGCCACTTTTATTGAGGTGCTTAAATATGGATTGGCAGCCTAACTTGAGGAGCCTGGGTTGCTAAAATTTGGCGGTGCCCTAGACAAACCTCACACACATAGATATAGCGCTAGTGACGTTTCACAGTGCTGTGAGCAGCCTTTCCACAGACTGCCGCAAAGGTAGGAGAAAAATCAAGTTTAACTTGCTTGTTCTTCGACTTCCAGCACAGACGGTCACACCTTTAGCGCTCGCCTTTATAGCTTCATCTATACTGTTAACCTTTGGTGCCCCTCACCATTTTCTTTGCCACGTACAATGTTTTCCCTTCGGGGGATGATATCACAGGAACACAGGTCAATCCTCTCTGTCATTAGCCAGGCCAACACATAAAAACAGGCGTCCGGGAATCGCTTGGAGTCGCCAAGCCCAGACGCAGGGCACGGCTTGTGCAGCTAAGCAGCAATCAAAACTACATTACGGGCCCCGTCCCCCTACCCCGCTGGTGATATTGGGAAGCAGTCAGGCGACTGATTATTTCAGCGATGCCTTCGCTTGGTCCTCCCAAACCAACAAAGCCCCTCTGCCTCTGCAAATCCCCCCCAAAAAAAAAAAAACAAAAACAAAAAGGAGAGGAACTTCCATGGGATCCTCACCAAGCAAATCTCCCACCGCCAGCCCTCCTGGCATGCAAGGAGCTGTCCCCTAGGAGCCTCTTCAGGGGCCCGGGGGGGTCTGGGGCTTCAAGGTCCGCAGGGCAGAGTTGGGGAGGAAAGCCCGAGGGAGGGAGGCGACAACTCGGCTCAAGTTGCCCGCTTACCGATGCTGATGGTGTTTGGGAAGCCGCCCAGAGCCTCCCCCAGCAGCCCCGCCAGCAGCAGCAGCAGCAGCGCCCGCTGCCCCATGGTCTCCGGCGCCGGCGCTTC